TTTAAAATCTACTTGGGCAGCTGTGCAGATTCTATTTAAACACAGAGAAATTGAGCTCATGTATTTTAGGTTCTGCATAGAGTGGGAATTGTCATCAGTTCAAGATGACAATAGCAGGTGGGTTGTACCCGCACAGAAAAACAAACCCAACAAGTTTTCTCATCAAGTATATTCTACGATTTCATAAAATATTTTATCTTGAATCTTTTAGCCTTAAAATGAACATTACATTGCAAAAATCAATCATCTTCACAATAACTTATCAAAGAATTAAATTCAGTCAGAAAATTGCATTGGCAGGAAACAGTTTAAAATGAACCTTAAATAATTAAACAATTAATGCATTAATTAATAAAATTCTGTATTATTGTAATGTTCAGCTGGCATAATTCCAATCCATTTATTTAGAAATGTAAATTCTATAAAGTGATAGGAAAATATTTAAGTTATGGTAACTGCTAAAAGTTTTTTCAAAGTAATTATGTTTTGAGATAATTTTCATAAAGAGATTTCTGCACCAGAGGGTTATATAAATAACGATTCTACTGACTTAAGTCATTTTTGTTCAATCATGCTAATAGTCAGGCAGTTTCCTATATCCAAGTATTTTAATTACAGCTGGCATTTTTAAGCTGCCTACTGATGTTGTGTGCACAAATATTACCATTTCTATTACTAGTCATATTAAAGTCATATGGGAGAAACTGAACTTCAGTCTGTCTCAGTTAAGTATAACCTTTTTGACAGAAAGCCTGCAAGATATGAACTATATTATGATTTCAAGTGAGCCTTCATATTTTCTTTTTGACAATTACACCACTAATGTGTTAAAAAGGAGACTTTTTTGCTTATCATATTGCATGCTTAAGTTTACAGGGTTGTATATTTTCAGTAAGATGACTCAGAAAACTTAGATGTAATCAAAGCATTTTAAGAAACATGCTCCACATTGTCCTCAAAAAGTTTAATTATTCACTTAAGGAAAAACACATACACCAGAACTGTCAGCATTAGTAAGTAAAAACTAAAAAAAAAAAAAAAAAATATGTTTTTTATATCAGTTTGAAATAATATTATATTAATAACACCCAAGTGTTATTAATTGAAGTGTCTCTTCTGAAGCTGACAATGTCTACTATGCCTACTAAAACCAGATACAGAAGAATATTATGACATTTCAGGGAATATATGCTGAAATATTGCATATGGTTTTCCCTTTCTTGTCAGGGAGTAGAACTTTGAACTTCACCTCTGATCTCGCTCCTGGAAAAGACCTTGACTTTCTAAAGGAATTGGTGAAACTCAATCACAACCAAGCCATAGAATAAAATTTGGCACATATGCATACTAATGTGCAAATTAAATAACCTAGTTTAATAGTATCAGAAAGCCTAAGCAATTAACCATGTTGAAATTTCAAAACCTCAGTAGGAAGCAGAGACTGTCATTTCAGGCCCTTCCCAATCTCGGGAGGCTGTATGATGGAATTTCCCCATCCGTGGCTGCTGACAGCTGCAAGTATACACACAGTGGGTACAAAATCAGCACTAGAACACCAGAAATGTACAGTCTTGGTATCCTAACACATAACTATTTCTGTACCTCAGAGCCTTTGACCAAGTGATGCAGCTGCTTCAGCTGGGTACCAACATTACCAGCTACTCACTGCCCACACAACTCACCTGTGGTGTTATGCCCACCCTGTCACACAGGTTCTTTGATACATAGGGAGGAGAAAAACCCCTCCCCACAGCACTGACTGCTCATTTTTTGGGGGGAAGAGAGGGGGGAGGGGGAAGGTCAAATTAGACAAATTAGGTAATTTGTTAACTTTCCTGCATTAATCTCCAAATATGTGGAAAGGAAGTTTTATCCCGCCGGTAAATATGGTGAATGTATGTGGGAAAAGCACTGGCAGTGTAAAACTAAACCCGCAGGGGTAAAGCTGGATACTAAAGGGCAGAGCTCCTGTATTATGAAAAAGCATGTCCCAGACAGCAACACAACTTTAAAACTACCAGGCTGCAAAGACAGTTCTCCTAAATAGCAAGTGACAGGACCAGAGGAAATGGCCTCAAGCTGCACCAGGGGAGGTTTAGACTGGATATTAGGAAAAATGGCTTCACTGAAAGGCTGGTCAGATATTGGAACAGGCTGTCAGGGAAATAGTGGAGTCACTATCCCTCGAGGTGTTCAAAACACGTGTAGATGCAGCACTGAAGGGACATGGGTTAGTGGCGGGCTTGGCAGTGCCGGGTTAATGTTTGGACTCAGATGGGAAGGGGCAGCCTATGGTTCAAACCCCTGGCCTGGCGCCACGTCACCCAGGATGGTACCTGGGTTGGTTGTCTGGGCAAGATGGGCAGCAGAAGGAGAAGGTGATACAGGAGGAGGAGGAGCAGCCCGAGGAGAGGCAAGAGGCCCCAAGTGCCCCACCAGGCCCTTCAGGGCACATCGTTCCCGGCCGTGGATCTGCAGTGGGGAAGGCGGTGGCGGGGCTTTCCAAGCCGCAGTGCCAAGCTCTGCATTTCTGGCGAAAGTGGGGAAGGGAAGGCAGGGGAGGGGAGGCTTTCACATCCTCAAACCCCAGGGAAACATCTGCTGCTGCTGGCGCCGCAGTGCCATCCAAAATCATCCTGCTTCTGAGGTCAGTTACTTAATCCCAATCTATTGCCGCTCCAGGGGCAGCTCCTTTGAAACAGCCAGGCCTGTGGCAGCGCAGAGTGCACCCGGCCAGAGACATAAGGAACTGACCTCGTACTCCTGGCAGTTGTTCCTAAAAAAAGCAACCAAGGAAGTTTCCACTGCAGAGCCAAAGAACTTCGCTGATCCAGTCACTGTCATGAGCACCTACAACTCTGCTGCCCCATCTACATTGCGCTGCTGCAAGAGAGCAATTGAAGTGTCTGGAATCCCAGGACACTTGCATGTTCCTGTGGCATATGAGTATTTAATGCGTAGTTTTTTGAAGGGGGGGGGGGAAGACGCAAGGAGTTTTCTTTCTCAAATAAAGTCTGACAGGAAAACGTCACTTTATTGAAAGATTTGGTATGTTGTTACTGTGCCAGAGAGGGAAACTAGCTGTTTCTTGTCAAAGAAGCAAAAAGGACTGCTCCACAGAAATCCTAAAACAAAGTCAGACATCTAGCAAAGAGGACTAACTTGGACATGTGACTGATTCATCCATGTACTTCTTTAAAAGCACAGATCACTTCAGAATGTTGACAGAAGAAATAATTCAACCTTCCTTGGCAAATTTACTTCCCAAGATAAACTGGACAAAATCCCTGTAAACAAAATCTAACGTAAAGTTTAAATTGCATTTCACTCTACAAAATGAGTCATCCTTGCAATGTCTTCCATCCTATGCTTTACGTGGTTCCCATGTCTTTACCTCTCCTGTCATCTCTTTCTAAAGCTTTCCAGGAGGATGTGAGAAGGTATGGAGGAAAAAGTCAATCTGCAGCACTGAATGTAATTTCTAGTGTAAAACTGATTATATTTGGTATGGAGATTACAGAGTGTCAGTAAATATAGACACCAGTATGGCATTTTAAAGGCTTGTTACTGACGGAAGACAAATTTTGGAAGTTTCATTTCACTCAGATGAATGTACAACTGTGATAGAAAGCAGGATGTATCAGATAGAGTTCCGTATCTTCAGAGTGTTGGCTTAGCCTTACACTGCCCATACGGCATATAAAATATCCTCAGCTGTCACTTTTTACACATTTTAGTTCTTGTGATCTATATATGAAACCAACCTTGATAAAGAAGGAAGGTGTGTTTATTTATTTATTTATTCTGCTCCATCAGCAAACTACTCAAAAAAAAAAAAGACCCACCATGATTCTGCATTACAGAACACATCTTTTAACCTGTACTGTAATAAATTTTAGTCTTATTTCTAATTTTGTATTAATCAGCAGCAAGTTAGGATTTCAGAGAAATTACATCTGTGTGAGACTAACATAAACAAAGGAATTATCAGACTCTCTGCCCCAATTTCTCCCGACAAGGCCATAAAAGAAAGGCCCCCATAGTCTGAATTAAACTGTCCAAATAAACATAGTCTGATTTTTCTGAAGAGCCAGACCTTTGCAGTTGGCACTGAATTCATTCGGAGAGGACCTTTATAAATCAGACTGCTTTTGTTTAGAGTTCTAGATGCATACTATCAACCTTGGAATCAGGAAATGAGTACTGCTTATTCTGAGCTGAGACATTAATGAACTTGTCTACTGATAGAACAAGTGGCAAAGCTCTGGAGGTAAGTGAGCTGCATGGAAAACTCTGATGTTAATATGTTTTACTTATTCCAAGTAATAATTGTAAGTTTTCTGGATTTGCATTTCTCTGTGCTTGCATTTGATAATTTTTTTGTGTTAAATCTGTGTTTCAATTTAATTCGCTTGTGATTTCTATAGCAACAGAATAGTTTATTTTAAAATTCTTCAATGAAAACACCATGTAATTGTCAGTGAGACTGAAAACTTCTTCATTTTGTCTCTACTACATGAGTCAGTAATTTTTAGTGCCATTGCAAGTTGCTATGTATGTCCCTTGAAGGACTGGGTTACAGTGGTACTCGTGAACCATGTTTCACACCAGGAGACATTTCATTGTAAGGTATTTTCCATCATTACCAAGAAACAGAAAAATTCTGCGCATTCAATGGCTCTGTTCTTTTTGTACCATACTTGATAAATCTCTTTTCAGGAAAGAATTCAATACTTAAACGACTACCATGCTTTTCTATGCACCGATATTCTGGAGAATGATGTCTAGTTTTACAGCAATTTGTTAGCTGGAACTTCAGAAACTTGAAGAAACAGGGGCAAGTTGCATCTTTTAAGTTTACTGCCACATAAGGATGATAGAAGAGAATGACTATTTTCTGATGGACCTGAAAGGCCAACAAGTGCCTTTGAAAAGTCTACCTTACCAGTTGAACTAGTTTACAAGATGATCACTGACAGCATCCAAGAGTGTTAAGGAAGATGTACATGCCTGTTGTGAGCGGTCTTGAGAGCAATCATGACTTTTCCAACTTTGAAGAGAAAAAACAGTAATTCTTTCCCTAAATTTTATCTACTCACCCCTCCTGTAGGGGTGAATTACCCTTTATTCCCACACCAGGATGTTATGCCTTTAATAGATCCCTGCTCAGGTTCTGTGAGTCTAATAGCAGATGCTGAACAGTGTTGGAAGAGCTATTGAATCCCTGGTGGACTACAGTGATATGAAACCTCACCAGTGGTCCCCACAGGAGGCCTTCAGGAGGAAACTGGCCAGAACAGACAGTGGGAGTCAGGACATGATTCAGAGGTAAAGCAAATTACTATATTTATTTCTTAAACACCAAAGAAATTGGTGATGCTTGACAAATAAATAAAATGAGTTTCTGAACTCCATTCCCCAGGGTCCTAAAGGAACAAGCTTATAAAACATATTTGCCCTCGATATTTGAACTGGATATAAAAACTGCAGTAGTGTTTGTATGTTTCGTTGTCCCTGCTGTAGCAAAGAAGTACTAGTCAGCAAATTCCAGTGGGAATTCAAATGCTAAAAAAAGAAAAAAAACTTTGAAGGTAATTAATGTTTTTTAAAAATCTATTTATGTAAATTGTGAAACTACATACCATAGTTCTAATGAGCACCTACTTTACTACAAACCAAAATAATAAGTCAATCTGGAGTTGGGAAATCTCCTGGATATTTCTGTGTTTCTTTGTATTTCCTGACAAGTTGCGGTGCAGCACATTTAAAGACCTATTCCAGTGCCTAGCTGATCAGAGAACAGAAGTTCTTCAGGACTGCCATCACATGTTAGTCAAAGTACATATTACTCTCTTATTTTATATAAATGTCTTACACATTGAGTCTGGCTGAGTCTGATCATTTCATATTGATTACAGCATCAAAATGGAAATTTACCACTTATAACATGAAGCAAAATTGGGTTAATGGTTTCAGAATTGTCTTATAAAAATTGTGGAAAGCAGAAATATCGGCCCAGGGCTTCTTAAGGTAGACATAATCAGCCATAAGCAATATGATTGAAGTCAATTTCAGTGATTTTCATAGAGAGATGCTCATTATAGCTAGAACAAAATTTTATGGTGTCTCATGCTACAGGCTCATAGATGAGGGGAAACATTTCTCAGAACATGGTAAAGAAATGTAAATAAACTCCTTGTTCTATTTTATTATGCAATAGTGCAGTTACTTACTTCGCAGTTAAAGATACTTTATATGTATTACTGTCACCAAAAATCTCTAAGTGTCGTAAATTCAGACAGTGGTTTTTGTTCCTTGTTTCTGTCTTCAAACTTTGCATTTTAAATCTCATTATGTTTTCTGCAGTCATATAACAGAACCCTAAAGAACATAAGAAACCACAAAGGATAAAAAATAGACTACATGATTTGTCTTTTTTTTTTCTTGCCCATCCCATGTAATTTTCACTCTTATTTCTCAGTTACTGTATTCTTCATTAACATATGAAATTAGACCTCAGACATCAGTCAGAACTGTTCAACTGTTTTTTTCTGCAAAATGAAGGGGAAAGAATATTTGAGAAATGCAGTTCTATCTGACCATTAAGTATTCCAATCCAGATAAAAGCAGATAGAGACAGAGATATACTCTGTCAGATAGGGACATATCTGAAATGAACACAGACAAAATCTGAAACTGAATGTCATCAAGTCAGTAATCCAGGTTACAGTCAAGAAAGTAGTCTGAAATGGAGAGTAGTTCCAGAACACAGATAGAAACTGTCTGTTGGCTTTCTGGTGACTTTTTTTTTTAATAAAGTTCACTATTAGAGTGAAATGCCGACTCCACTGAAGCTGTCAGAAAAAGTCAAATTTAACCCTTGGACAAACCTTGAAACAGGCATAGTCCAGTATAAATTTCTTAAGGACAGTCGTGTAAGTGTTCTTCCAAACATAGTATGCATTTACTAGTTTTCCTGTGATGCTGAGATATTAACTACAAATGAGTAAATATAGATATAAAAAGTAGACTAGTTTTTAGCTACTATTTTTAATGAGACTGCATAAATGAATTCCAGATTTTAGCTATATAATTCAGGGCCCAACTACCAACCTGCAGGCACTTCGTGTGATATAAGTTGCTAATCTTTCTAGATGTAAGTCCCAAGACATTCCACAGCTAAGTTGTTTGGGGAAGTTGTGCTGAGAGAGAGATCAGTCAGGCATTTTGCAAGCAAATTCTACAGTCACTTTCTCCACTGTGTCTGGGATGAATGTAAAAAAAGGAGACAGAAGCAGTCTTTGATACGGATGAGCTGCGGTTTATAAAACATCTGCAGCAGACAGGAGCTTCTCTGTTGTGAGAAGATGTAGTGCTATGGCTTTGGCAGTCAGCAACTTTGAACTTCCCTAGCAGGCGCTTGCACCTGCTGAGTGAAGCAAACTTAGGGAAACTCTGTAACAGCAAAGCAAATGCAAGAAACTGACAATGAAGGTCGTTCTAAGACTGGAGAATCATAGCCTGCCAGAGAAAGGGACAGCTGAAGAACTATCCTTCATGTATTCTGAGTCAGTATAGGGAAGGTGCTCAATGCTAGAAGACAAGGTCTTGACAGTGTTTGCCTGTAGAGTCCCCTTCTCTCACTCATATGACAACAGAATTTTCTACCCTTTTCTCTGTGGTCTAAAGTTTTCTTTGCAGTGGACCACGGAATTTGACTATGCAGGTATATTTGTAGCTGGGAACCTGGTGACAAAGCCCCCATATCCAATTTGCAACTTTTATTCTATTTGTAGGGCTTAACACAGAGGTGGGCATGGGGATTGCAGAATGAACCAGGTTGTTCGACAAGTCTGATAAGGAGCAGAGATGACTTCTTGCCCCCGCTGGAAGCTAACATATTTATCTTTCCAGGCCATGAGGCAGCTGAGTTGCTCAGGCAAACCCAGTGGACATTTGTGTTACTGGACACAGTCAGACATACAATGGGAGAGACAGGTACCTCTGCAGGGTGGAAGAAAAATGCTATCGGTAGATAGAAAATGCTATCATGGTTTCTTGAATGTTACTCTTTCAAAGAAATATAGACATGGATGGTGAGAGCTGCTTGCAGGGAGAGACCAAGAGAGAAATTCAGACCTGATATTAAGTTGCTCTGTGTTCTCAAGAACTAAATGAGAGAAGTATTACAGTAAGAGAAGCAGTTTATTTTTAAAGAAAACATGCTTACGAAATTTACTGAAGTTCCAGTATCTGAGGAGATTAAAAGGTAAGATTCTCCCTGATGAACTGGTTCATTTAGCTTACATGCCAACCTAATTATTTACCACAGTATTTTACCAAATTCACATGAGCACTGCATCATTCCAAGAGCAAAACCTTGACCTATCTTTTAGGACTGCATAAAAATTCTATCAGAAAATTCTGTCTGGTGAGAAAAAAGTTATTGATCTATTCGGTCTTTAACAGTGTAAGCTGAAGCTCTTGAACCTGTCATATCCCTTTGTATATGTACAATGTCCCTGGATTGTTTCTACTTTCTACATATTTTATTAGCCCAAGCAGTCCCTCTCTCATTTTCTGAAACGAGTTGTAGATGTTTCCTTGGCTTGTGGGTGTCTCCAGCCTTTTACCAGTAAACTAGAAATCAGAATCTGTTATCTCCTCTTTGTAAGAATATCCCAATCTGATTATCCACATAGCCAAAAGGAGAGAGATGACACATTTCTATCTTATTTCCATTTTTTTGCCTTCACATATCTAGTAGAGCAGTCATTTGTTGTGTCCTGCAAGTTCAGCAGATGATTGTTTTCATCTTGGGACATGCCAAGCACACTGGGCAGTTCACCTCTGTGGGTTTTTTTTCTTGTGGACCATTTTAATAAATAATTAGAATTTTGGAGCATGCAGTATATTGTTCAGCTGCCTCCACCATCTGTCTTATGAATAATGTACATATTTTTGGTTGCATTTCTATCCGAACAGTAGCTGTGCTGGTGCAGTATATTTTGAAGACATTGACAATGCTGGTGTAGACTTAATCCCATTTAACCATGTGCAAACTTCAAAGTCTCGCTATACAAGCATTGCACAGCATGTTTTGTTTATTAGCATGATTTTGATCCTACCTCCTGAGTTCTTGCTACTTGGAGAAGGGGGAAAAAACAGTTAAAAATCTGATCTTGATGAAAGGAATGGAAAAATTTGGGGTAACGCTCTTTATTCTTTTTAATAACATGAATGAGTCTGTTAACACAAGAAGCACCATGGGGTTTCTGATTCGGGGCTGAACCTTGAGAGTCCTTTTTAATAATTGAGTCAATAGTAAATGACCTACAGTGGTAACTCCCTCAAGTGGTCAGTTTAGGTCTGTAAAAATCTAAAGGACCATCCAGAATAGATATATAAAAATACTCAAGGAGGCTAATACAAAATGACCAGAGAGATGTCTGCTGAGATGACGGCATAACAGATTTTATCCATCTACTTGTCTCACAGTAAGCTGAAATGCAACCTGTTTTGATTAAGTATGAATTTCTCATAGAACATTAAGGCCTTATTTATTTATTGTATCACATTAATGTTATAGCTTCAGGGAAATTATGCTCCTAAGACCACACATCATGCTTTTCAACAGAAACATTGATTTGGGGTTTTTTTTGTTATCCAGGAATTGCTCTGTGGCCCAAGTGACCCTGCCATCCATCTTGTGCAGAATGGTCATAAAGAGTTGACATTAATTGATCATCAGACCAAAAGCTACCCCTGGTGTGCCCATCCTGGGAAGTAAAATCTTCCTGTGGTAACACCAGTGCAATATACTGTCATGGTATAATGAACTCTTCACGATCAGCAGGCTCTGACCTAGGCTGAGATGGAAATCAGAATATTTTTCCTGCTGTTAATCTTGCTAGACTAATTGCACAACCAAGTTTTAGGAACTCAACAGGCACCTTTCCATTTTTCTGAATTGAGAAAGGTTCCATGTGAAGCTAGCTTGTGCACATCTGCTGGATCATGCCCAAAACACCTGGCTTGTGATTCCTGATGATGCTGAGACTACCTAACACAGACATTTCTGTGAATGCCCAGCATCAGGAAGTAGATTTGTGTTACATTCAAGGTTCAGCTTAGTAGGACATGGGAGAGAAGGTTCTGAGTGTAATATGCACCAGGAATTTCTGCTGATGCCATTCTGAATTGAGTCCTTACTTCCAAAAAAATTGTTTTTTTCAAACTATGCCGTACTTTCATACTTTGGATGCTTTCTGTTCTTTGGTATTAATGGACAAGTCTGTTGCGTAGAAATACCTGTGCCACTGTTTGATGGGTAGTATGACTTGAATATTGCCATGTTAAAAGTGTATGACTTTTAACTTTAGTCACTAGATGGCCTTTGAGTGTGCAAAAGCTCCCTGAATGCTAATTAGGAACACCATACTTTTAACTAGATGATGAACTTCAAAATTTGAAGGTTTTCACTTTAAGCCTTTCCTAAACCTGTCTTTAGTAGCTTGAGCTGATATTAAGCATTAATTTGCAAACTTTTGAGTAAGTAAAATGAAAAAGGTAGCAAGAATAGTAATAGTAAGAACTAAAAACAATAAAACAAAAGAGGAAAGAGACTTTCTGTTTACCTAATCAGAATTTTTCTTTGCATCAGTCTCTCCTGTGTGTCCTTGCAGTGGTCTTGCACAATTCACTGTCGTCAGGAAACTACAGAAGGGATATTTCACTTGGAAAGCAGAGGGACGAAAACTGTAAAAATATTGCCCTCTCTGTTGTGAAGATGCAATGCTGGATCTTATTTGCTTATGTCAGAGTATGTGCTAAATATTTCTTGTTGTTGTGAGCTGCCTTGTAAGTAGCTGGAATTTCTGAACTTCGCCTTAGGTCTGTTCATGTTATTTATTTACGTGGTATTCAAGATGAATGTGTATCCATCAAATGCTGTCACACACATGTGGGAAACAGTCCATCATTCTTCAGACAGCCTTACTCATTACAGCAGTAGGTTCACAGGCAAAGTAAGGCGCTAAGCATTGTAAGGTGGTCAAACTTGACCCATGTTACTGCAGCCAAGCCTATTAATACCAAGCTTTTATGACATAATGCCCCATTCCAATCATTTTATTTCACCTTCTGCACAAGTCATCTGGTTTCTCATAACCTGCATCTAATTTTTCTACTTGAATTGAAACATAAAATAGTATAAAATGATTACGCAGAAATGAATGTGCTTTAAAAGTAGAGCACATAGAGAATACAACATAGTGCTGAACAGAGGTCTGAGTTGTAGTGAAATTACAGAGCTGCTAACCCTTAGTTCTGCTACGTTGTATTGCTGTTGCTGTGGAGCTTTGAAGAAAAGAAGCTGATGTGTACACTCTGCTGCAGGCAGACATCCTGTCTGGAACTATTTGCAGCATATGGTACTGTGGTGGATTCAAGCAACTGGTTCTGTATTACCTTCTCTGGTATGCTGCATCTCATTTTTCTGGTTTTTAGTGAATGAAGCTATAGGTTTCATTGATTTCTGGCAACCAGCAAGATCTCTGAGAATTAAAAGATTCTGACATGTCAAAGCTGTGAAAAACTCAATTCCACCTGGAAAATTCTATCAAGTGTTTCATATTTATTCTCTGTCTATGACTTTCAGACATCAAGGTTGCTATGATTCTGAGCAAAAGAATGAGGAAAATCAGAAGGCATAAAACTGTTGCCTATAATTTGTTTTTCCCACTTTGTGTGTTTGTCAGTAGTTCTGGAAGGAGGTGAAAAGATATAAGGCTGCTAAACTCCCGCCAAAATCCTTGAAAAGTTAGGTTTATGTTTTGGATTTAGAAGCCTATATAAATGTAAAGTATAAAAACCTCTTTGTAGATAAGTCACTTTCACTCTCATGGACCAGCAGCTGCACTTCCTACCTGTAGCCCTCGGGCAGCAGTATTGGTGCTCAGGCATTACTCCAGAGTGAGACACTATTCTTCCCCAGACCGTGCAAGAAAGTGGTTGCCAACATTCAAATTATTAGCAAAGCTGCAAGTAGCTAAGAGTCATCTGTCATGTAACTGCAGAGACAAACAGGAAGAGTGGTGAACCTGGGCATGTTTTGTATGTTAGCCTTGCACCCACCCTCTCTTCCTTTTGGCAGAACAGGAAACCATCTTCTGTTTTTCTTCTTTTTTCTTAAGGAATTAGAAAAAAGAAAAAAGTCTTGACTCGTGCTGTAGATCAGCCTAAAAGCACCTAATATAAGATCTTCACAATAATGTTGTGAAGAGCTGCTGTGCATATATCCAACACTCTAGATAATACTCTGAAGTCCTTTACCATGCAATTTGGATGTTTTACAGATGGAAATCCAGGTGCAGTGTGATAAAGTGGTTTACAAAATCCCATTCAGAATCTGTAGCACAGTTAGGAATGAGAATTCAAATAACTTGAGCCCAAGTCTCTGCTGTTTTTTAACTGAACTCCAATCTTGAAGCTTTTGAAATGGTTCTTTGCTGAAACTTGGGTTTAAATAATATTAATTAGAACAAAGTGATGGCCATAGTTCTTAAAAGTTAGGCTGGGACATAAGTGAAGACTTGGGAATCTTAGTCATGTTTTATCCAGTTTTTCTCAGTGGTTCAGACATGGAATAGCTGTGAGAGCCTGCAGCATGCATAAAAAGCCATGTCACAGGTGTTGTGATTCATCTGCAAGTGCTTGATTTATGAATCTGAACTTATTAATTATAATTATGTTTGTGAAGTGGTAGCAGTCTAGGATGATCAGTGGGAATTTCCCTAAGTGAACTGTGGCTTTTCAGGTCAGATGCTTCATCTTTGCACTTGACCGAAAATCCTGGATCATTATTCAGTTCTTCTCATTCTCTTACAGACTTATATTAAAACCTGTCTTAGGGGAAAGGCATTAGTGACATAATCTCTTGAAGTCTGTTCCAGCCCTGGAATGTAGCATCTTTCTTAATATCCATGTTTTGTATATGCACTCCTGAATTTGTTTTAAAATTAACATGTTCCTCTCTTTCATCCTTGGTTATGTTGCAATGTATGCCTAAAAGCTGGAATCTTCTGTCATTTCTTTGTCAAGGGTAACACAGAAATCAGGGTTTTTGTAAAGAGACAGTCAAAAAATTAGGAAGTTGTTATGAAAAAGCACTCTGAAAATCTCTTTCTGATGCAGTCCTTTTTCACTAACAGATCTCCAAAAATCTTTTCTAAAACTTACAATCTCACTGTAAATAGTGTAATCACTTTTACACTTTTGAGATTACACTTTTAGACTTTTCAGAGCATGATTTCATTTTACAGAGTTTTCACTGAGTGGACTACATTTTCAGAGCGCGGGTGTTACAGGCTTGAATCTCATCTTTTTGTGCCGCTAAATAGCAAGGTTCCAAACTGAATGCACTGGTGCTTTTTTGTATTTTCATCATATGTTGCTTTTTTCACATTTACTAAACAACAATTGTCCAGTGGCTCAAATGTCTTTTGCTGTATTTTGAAAGGTACCGATTTTTTTTGTGCATGTTTTCTTTTTCTTGTTTGTTTTTTCCTACTTTCGCTACTTGTCTGCCAACTTTAACCTCCCTCATGTTTGCTTTCTTGTCTTTCAAACTGATGAAGTGTAAATTTCATTGGAATCAGTGAGTTAAAGGTACCTGCTTAGCATGATTTCCTGAACAGGGACAGGATTGAGTATCTGTTCATATATTTTGCAAAACTACAACCTCTGAGATTTCTTTTACAAGATTTTAAACTCTGAATTGATTATGTCTGTTTTCCTTGGTTATTTTCAATTTGTTTCTTACTGGTTTGATTATTAAGTATTTACTTATAATATTTATTTAATTGTGGAAGTTGAATACTGCATTTGGTTTTGTATGTCACATAACTAACCATATACTAGGTAGATAAGCAACTGAGTGCTAACAAGTATGTTTCGTACAGGCAGACAGGCTTTCAAAAATAGCTCAGCAACCACACATGAAAACCAGAATTCTGAAAGAGTGCACGTTGATCGCTAAGCTCCTGTGAAAACCTGGCCACAAACACCACAATCTGATCTCCTGTGTGTAGCTG